AAGGGCGAAGTAGGCTGACGTGGAATGACGGGCTGACGTACCATTCAGCAGGGAGGAGGAGGTGGGCGGTGACGGGTGTGATCATGTGGCTGATGCGAAATGGCCCACAATATCGGGGGCGAAGTTTTGGAGTGATGGGCAAGCGGAGGTTCTGAGTATCGAGTAGTACTAGGTCGTCTGGCTGGTAAGTGACAGGTCGGCGGTGGCGATCGGCGTTGCGCTTAGCGATGATGTTGGCTTTTTTAATTGCGTCTGTTGCCCTGGTCCGTGCTGCTTGCAAAATCTCGGCGAACTGTTGTGCGCGTGGGACTGGATTGTCGGGATTTGGGGTCATGGGTACTGTTGGGTCCTGTCCGTAGTTCAGGTAATACGGTGACTGTTGGGTCGTGGCGGAGGGCGAATTGTTGTACGCGAATTCAATGAGTGGCAGTTGTTGTTCCCACGTGTTCGGGTCGTCGCACGTGGCCCGGATGAGCTGCTCCATGGTCTGGTTTGTCCGTTCTGTCTGTCCGTCCGTTTCGGGGTGGTACGAAGAACTGAACTGTAGTCGCGTGCCAAACTGCTGCCACAGGTTCCGCCAGAAGTTGCTGGTGAATTTCGTGTCGCGGTCGCTGATAATTGCCGATGGTATCCCGTGGAGGCGAACAACGGTGGCGATGAAGAGGCGGGCTGTTTCTTTGGCTGTGATTGATTTCTTGCAAGCTGCGAAATGTGCCATTTTCGTCAGTCGATCGACGACGACCAGGATCGCGTCGTTCCCACTCGCCCCGGCCGGTAACCCCGTCACGAAATCCATCGTCACCTGCTGCCAAGCACGCTCTGGGGGTGGAATCGGCTGCAACTGTCCTGCCGGCCGCTTCCGTGATGATTTCATGACCTGGCAGGTGGGACACGACGCCACGTGTCGTTGGATGTCGGTCAACATTTCTGGCCAGTAATAATACCGCTGCAGCTGCTGCCGTGTTTTTTCTACCCCAAAATGTCCCGAGGTAACTCCGTCGTGTGCCTCCTGTAACAGTAATTCCCGTAGTAGTGTATACCCGGGTACCCAAATGCGGTCGGTCCCGGCTTTTACGTAATAGACCCCTCGTGCTGCTGCGAACTGCTGCGAATTGCCTCCGGTGAAGAATGGGTCTGTTTGATATCCGTGGGTAAATAGTCCTGTCAGTAGTGGGCTAGTCTGGGCGAGTAGTATTGCGTGGATTTGGGCAGTGGGGCGGGTTAGTGCGTCGGCAATGTTGGAAGCTCCCTTTTTGTAGGTGACCGTGTAATGGAAATTCGACTCTAGAAAGTCGAGCCAGCGGATCTGTCGTGGGTTGAGGTGGGGTTGTGCGCGGAGATACTGTAGTGATCGGTGGTCTGTCCGTACTGTCACGTCTGCGCCGGTCAAGTAACAGCGCCACACTTTGAACGCATGCACGATCGCAAGCATTTCGCGATCGTGTATCGGGTAATTCTTCTCAGGTGGGTGCAGCTTTCGTGATTCGTATGCGATGGGCTGTAGGCCGTTCCCGAAATCCTGTAGCAGTACGGCTCCGATGGCGATGTCGCTTGCGTCAGTAATGACTTCGAATGGGCGGTGTGGGTCGGCAATGCGCAGGACAGGCGGTGAACAGAGAACATTTTTCAGGGTAGAGAAGGCAGCATGCTCTTTCTCCCCCCACGTAAAAACGACCCCCTTCCGCAGCAGATCCGTCAGTGGGGCAGTTAAGCGTGCCATGTTGGGGACGAATCGACGGACGTAATTAACAAAACCCAAAAAACTCTGCAGCTCCGTGATGTTTGTCGGGGGGTGCCAAGCTTTGACCGTATCCAGCTTCTTCGGGTCAATCTCAACCCCAGCCTCCGAAATAACGTGCCCCAAAAATTCTAACCTATCCTGAAAGAACTCGCACTTAGACCCCTTGGTCAATAACCGATGCTCCTCTAAAATTTTAAACACTGCTTCCAGGTCCGCTAAATGCTGCTGCTTATCGCGGCTGTAGACGAGAATGTCGTCGAGGTAGACTATCACACACTTATCTAAAAGTGGTCTAAACGCCTCGTTCATGGTCATCTGGAATGTTGCAGGTGCGTTGGTCAGCCCGAAAGGCATCACGGTATACTCGAACGACCCGTACCTAGTCCTAAAAGCTGTCTTGGCGCAGTCCGATGGTTCGACTCTAATCTGGTGGTAACCTCCCCGTAAATCTATCTTCGAGAACACCCGTGCTGTTCGCAGCTGGTCGATCAGTTCGTCGGCGCGGGGAATGGGGTATCGTGACTTCACTGTAACCCTGTTGAGCGCTCGGTAATCGATGCACATGCGAAACCCTCCATCTTTTTTTGGTGTGAATAGTATCGGTGCGGCGAACGGGGACGAGCTCGGTCGGATAAACTGCTTCGCTAACAGGTAATCTAACTGCTTCCTCAATTCGTCGAGCTCCGGCTGTGTCAGTCTGAACTGGCGCTGTACAGTTGGCTGTGCCCCCGGCTCTAACTCTATCCTATGGTCGTGCGCCCGCTGAGGTGGCAGTCCTTCCGGTAAGTCGTCGGGGAAAATCCCCGGGTACCGTTTCAATAGCTCCTGTAGTTCAGGCGGTACCGCTGTCAGCAGTTTCTGAAAATCACTCGGCTGCTCAGCTTCTCCTACCACTGCGATGTCCACTGCATACACGTCAGCTCCAGCGGCGACTGCCCGTTTCATTGTTATGGCGTTGACGTGGACCGTCGACGACTCAGGCGACTGCCAGCGTGGTAGTTCAACCCAGTTACCACTACTTCGCACGGTGCAGCTGCCTGTCGTCCAGTCGATTCTCGGGTTGTAACGTCGCAACCAATCACGTCCTAGTAAAATGTCGTGCCCATCCGGTGTCGTCGCGAGCATTTCTTGTGTAAACCCGAAGTTCCCTCCGCAGCGAACTTTTACTCTCTCCACCTTCTCCCGTATGGCCAGCGGCGTGCCGTCGACTAAGCGTGCATCAATCTCAGGTAAGCACCGGCTAAGTGTCAGTTGAAGTTTCCGTGCGGTCGCGGTATTAACTAAACTGTGACTAGCTCCTCCGTCGATAAAAATCTTGACTGCTGCTCCCTGTATTTTCCCGTGGATCAGTACTGGGCAATCCGTCGCTGTACCCTCCTTATTCATCCGAGCCCGATCGATAGCGTGGATCGGTACTGTGACTCGGTGAGGGCCGGTATGGTTGGGCGAGCAGGCAGTCTCGTCAGTAGTCGGCCCAATTTCTACTGACTGCTGGCGTTTCCCTGCCTCTGAGACTCCCTCCCTTGCTCTGCTCTGCGGCGCCTTAGCTCCTCTGGACACTCACTTTTACGATGGCCCGGCCTGTTGCAAGCAAAGCAGCGCCCCTTGAATGGTGCGGCAGCTGCATTCGTCGCAACGGCGTGTACGGTGGCGTGCTCGATCGGTCCTCGAGGACGATGTCCGTAGTAGGACCCCGGTCTCGGACGGCGCAAAATGTCGATTTTCTCGGCGATCGCGAGAATCTCGTTGAAATTCGAGAGTCCGCGTAGCATTATTTCCTGCGAGATTTCCGGCTTTAGCCCTCCGACGTAACGGTCCACCCGCTCCGCTTCGTGCATGTAGCCGACCTGCTCGCATAATGCGAGAAAACCGCTCGTATAGTCTTGAACCGACCCGAGCTGCCGCCAAGTGCGCAGTTTCTGACGCGCCGAAATAGAAGCCGCGATCGGCTCGAAGCGCGCCCGAAGCCCTACGCACCACGCATCCCACGTGCTGTATTGGGCGGTTTCGCAGAATGAAATCCAGTTGACTGCTGGGCCCGCGGGCCCTTCCTCTTGCGACGGTGGCTCTTAGGCGCGTGGCGACGTCACGATGACTCGCCACCAGTCCATAGCGGGGCCCCTCAACAGCGAGACGGCGTATCGTATCTTCGCTGCGTCCGACTCGACGTAGTTCGCGTCAAAAAACACGTTCATTGTGAAGATCCATGACTGAACCGTCGGACCACCACGCTGGCTCGGGTCGAAACAGGGCGGGCGCTGCGGCTTGAGTGGCATCGGCGCCATGATTGCCTGGTCGCCACTTGTTGCCGCAAACTCCACGTGCCGACGGGCTTCACGAGGCTCCCGTGGGCTTGGTGCGGCCCGGTTTCCTCCCATACCAGGCATTGGCTGGGCGGCGCTGTCACTGGCTGCGCCTGAGCGCTGTCCCACGCTGTCGTGCTGTGTTGGTGTGCCGGACGAGATGACAATCGGCTCGTCTGACTGTGCAGGTGCATTTTGTGACGCTGGAGCATTCGCCGCAGATTGCTGACGCGCGGAGTCACGTTCTGCCGTGAGCGTCGCAATCTCGAGTGCTGAATCTTCAACTTGACGGATCAGACGGTCAAGCTGCTCTTGCGTCAACGTCGCGAGCGTAAATTCAGCCATGGCGGGGGTGTCGGTCAAGCGCAGCGAGAGCCTCTGTCGTGGCCGTGCGTGCTTACGAGAGAGCACTACGAGCGGCGGTGCTTGATCGCTGAGAGACGTCTACCCCCCCCAAAAAATTGAGATAGTGGGGAAACGAAGGTGTGAATGCGGTCCGAGAAGAGATCGTAGGCTCTGAATACCAAGTGTTACGGGTGCAATGGAGTGAGCGAACGAAGATTGCACTATCGAAGCAAGAGTACAATGAGCGAAGGCATGAGCGAAGGATTATATAGCGAAACTATAGTGGTAACGGTAATGGACTGTGGTTGTCGCGCGACGGGCCTGGGACTGAGGTTGGGAAAAGTGTCGAGGCGGAGGTCCGGAGCGCGGGTTACCGCCGAGCCGTAAGGTCGGGGTGCGACATGCGAAAAATGGCGGGCGGATTATTGATGCGAGTGGTAACGGTGCTGACTGAGGTGCTACAGTGATGTACGCGTTGAGCGGGGATGCGAAGTAAGGAAAAGGAATTTTCCTTACAAGAACAAACATCTCCGATTTCACGATACACAGTTTTGAAAACTCCATGTTTCACACATTCTAATGATAAATTTAAAGAACTAGAATAAATCATATCACGGCACACAAATAACCTTTCCTCCTACTGTTCCAGCACAAGCGTTACCGTTGTAGTCTGTAAACGCCGCACTAGCAGCAGCTCCTCCACCATAAAAGCGGTAAGCACCTGAACATGTCAACGTTGGTGCAACTCGCTTGGCCCTCCCCTTGTTGCACAAACCTAACTGGAATGACCAATACTCTGCGCTGAGGCAGATCTGGGATCGCAAGATGTATGTACCGAACGTGCATGAAAGTGTTAGCATGTAGGAGACACAAAACATGAAAGGGATATTCTGACAAGGAACGCAAGACAGAGGCAAGGACAACGAGTGCTCGGCGGATCTTTGCATGGAAGTGGAAGCAAGCATTCTGCAATGATAGCTCCTTGTGGTTGAGTGCACAGAAGATCTATTCCTGTTATTGCTCTCCCATCTTTGATTCTTTCCTCCCCCCTTTCCAAAACCCCCATTTTCACCACCTTCCGCACACCCTCTCCTCATACTCACAGCCCTCACCTGTACGCCAATCTTGCTTCCCGTCGCGTAGGCCGAGGAAGGGATGGTGTTGGAGCAAGTGAGGCCGGGATTGTTGCGGTACAGCGCAGCCCATGGGTTCTCACTGGCACCCCCTTGTGTAGTGCCATCCGAAGGGGGGACACTCGTGCTGGTCCTCTTAAGCAGCTTCTCGCACGTGTCTTGCGGAGTGAGCGTGCCGTATCTCACACACTCAGGGACGGTGAAGGCGAAGGCATCACTGCGCTCGAGGCACACAGAGCGGCCCGCCTTGATGGGCTTGGAGCAGTCAAGTCCGGGGTTGAGATCAGCGAGATCAGCTTCAGTGAAGTTGAGCTGCCTGCTCATGGATGCACAGGTGTCCCCCTGGAGAGTTGGGCAGAGGCAGGGATGTTGATGGTTGTTGCTTGCTCCATGATCAGTGCCATAATGCAATGTGCTTAGTGAGAAATGATGCTATGTGTTGAGATGACTATGCCAGCTGGTTGTGTGCATAGTTTGACTGGGGAAAGAAAGCAAGAGGTCTCACATTAAGGGTGTAGAAGAAGGCAGTGCAGGGTGTGTCGGGAGTATTAGCCAGCTGAAGGACACTACCCTTGAGCAATGGCTGGCTGCAGTCGATGCCCTGCATTCGGAAACACATGCATGAATGAGAGGTTTGTACTAAACTCGACAAAGGCCAGTCTTCCTCTCCATACCGGGTGCAGGAAAGTAAGGCTCTCATACCAAAGTACCTCATAGCGAGAAAGAAGAAAAGGGAAAGAAAAAAAAAAAAAAAAAAAAAAAAAAAAAAAAAAAAAAAAAAAACCCTGTCAATGACGGTTGAAAGTGTTACGTCAATGATAGGAGAATGAAAGAACGTCTCATCGAGTTAAAACAGGACCCTGCAAGGGTGAAAGGAGGATATATACTCTAAACAGAGGACATGCTGCTGGGAACCAACCGGCAGTGCAGAGAGAACTCAGGGGTATGTTGAAGCAAGATCCAACGGATAAAGTGATGTAAAAACAACCTGATATAGAAAATATGAATGATGGTTTGTATAAGTCACCTCCTCTTCACCCACCGCGTTTTGGTCAGTGAAGTCAGTGAGTGAGAGGTCAACAAGTGGATGAACATCCGAACACAACCAGTTGTCTCCAGTGACTGTCATTGTGGTGGCTGTGGTATTAACTGCAGGCAAGAATGGGGAGTGAGATGCAGGCAAGAAAGGGAGAGAGAGAGAGAGAGAGAGAGAGAGAGAGAGAGAGAGAGAGAGAAGAGAGAGAGAGAGAGAGAGAGAGAGAGAGAGAGAGAGAGAGAGAGAGAGAGAGAGGGAAGATCTTCAACGTAATGCCAACAAGGTATAGCACACAGGAAAACTCAATCAAGACCACAGACATTCTGGGAGGCAGCTACTTGGGCTGCTCAAGCATCACCTGGATCGCAGGTTGGGAAGCCGTAAATGGTTATGCTTTCTACGTGATTGGGAGGGCAGATGCAGGAGTAGGAGCCCTTGCCATCGTTGATGCATGCTCCCACGTAGCAGGGGTTCTTGAAGTATGACCCACACACGTCCACTGCCACACGTGTATAGGGGAGGCGGATAGAACAGACAATGGGGAAAGAGGCAAGATAAGGGGTAGATTTGAGAAGGAGAGTAGAGATGCAGAAGTAGTAGATGTGCGAACTTTGTTGAAGTTGAGAGGAGGATCTTAGAAAGGTTGGAAGTTTGGGAAATAGTGAATGCATTAGAAAATGCAAGAGCCCAAGATACGAAAGCAAGGGTAGGAAAATTTGCTGCACCGCCAAAAAAGGTTGACATTAAGTATGCTGAGGCTTCTTACAGACACGAAAATGGGGCAATGGGAAGGAGAGAGGGGATATGTGGGCAGAATAGAGCGGGAATATGAGATACGAAAGGGGAGATTGCAGTGAAGAGTGGAAAGAAAGGGAGAGACGAAAGAGGTGAAATGGGGAGTAAGAGAGGGGAGAAAAGAAACCAGGTCAACGCCATAGCAAAACTGTCCTTGATGATGATGAGAATAGCATTGGCTAGTGCTGCTGCGTCAGCATTGCTCACCATGTTCACATAATAAGTTGACCTGAGATTCACATGGCGATCATACCTGCTGGCCTGCACTACTTATCACATTCATTTTGAAAATGCTCGAAAGTGTGGAGGCGTTTCATTGCCACACAGGCTAGGCCAAGCATAGTGTGGTATCAGTAGTGCAACCTCATTGCTCTACTTGCAACTGGACATACCATAAGCACATGTGGTGAAGCCATCTCCATTCACCACCTGTACAAAAGGCTGCACAGTAGCGGTAGGAATGTTGCAGGTGCAGTTATTCGTGCTCTCTGCTGTCACGCCACATTTGAATCGGCCACACGGATTCATAACGGGCTGCGGCCGATCTCCCTGGTAGCTGCTTTGACCACAGGGGTCCCCTGGAACTGGGAAATGATGGAGAGGAGAAGATACACTTGAAACACGTTGATGGAATTGGGCAAATATTACTCTCCGTCAGTTTGATCCAAGCATGTTTGAGTCAAACAAAACAGGGGCTCAGTATGGTTCAAACCTATCTGTAGACACAAGCAAAAACCGAGTTGCAATTCGGTTTGTGTATGCTCCAACTTGCAAAAACGCTTCACAGGTTGGAGCAGTTATGTTTGGTTCAACCAGGGAAACACATGCTTTCTATCTCTTCGAGCAATCTAATATTTCTTCCTGTTTTTCTCATTTCCACCATCCATCACAATCAATACAACTACCGGGTAAATGCCTCACTCTTGACAACGGGGTAGATGCCAGGCAGCACGTTGATGCCACACACGCCATCCCCTCCCTGAATGTCCATGCGCATGTGACCCTTGTCGCCCCACTCCTCTCCCCACGAGTTGCGAATAATCCAAAACGGAGGAGCAATGCGGTTCTGGCTGCCGTCATTTCTCGTAATGAAGTACCCAATAACGAGTACAACATGGTTGAGACTTCCTGTATAGCAATCAGGATCCTGGTATTTGTATGTCTGATGTGGCATGGGGTAGAACCAACCACAGAAAAGGCAAAAAGCACAAGTTCTTTTGCCAGAGTCAAAGTGGACGTTCAAGGAGAGATTAGCTCTGTATATTCCTGAGTTTTTTCAAATCAATTCTGGGTGGCCATTCACAACGTGACAGCACGACGGCATGCTGAATGAGGGCTGAAGTGGTTCACTCACCCCATCATACATCACGAACGTGGCAGCAGACGCCTGGATGTGAACCACCACTGGCTGGTTCTGCACTGCCATCATGAGCCCCACATACCCCCTGAACCGCGCTCGCTCGAACGACTGCACCGGGTACGTTGTTGCCTGGGATGGGCCAGGAGATTTGCATTGGGAATGGGGTAGTAGAGGGTGGGAGGGAGGAGAAGAGAGAGAGTTATGGAGTGTGAATGAATAAAGGGGACAGAATAATGAAAACCCAACATGTCTCCAACAAATCGCTGTCATAAAGTTTGAAACACACTACAAGTTTGGTTACTCTGGGAAAAATGGCCTCGTTTCCTGAAAAAGACACTTCTGCTACAAGCTAGAATAACCTACGAAAAGTAAACAGTGTTGAGTCATGAATAGCAAACGGCTCTCATATCGCCAACGCGATTACCGACGCGAGTACAGCTTCATGCCTAAATCTCACGGCTAATTCTGTTTGCCCTACCGGGTCACTGTCCCCTGTGAGCCCACTGGAGGCATCGAGAGCCACAAGCTTCTCAAGGGCCTGCGTGGGGGAGCCGCCAGCGGAGCACTTGTCGGAGTCGGAGAGCCCCATGAGGGCGAAGAGCGCCTCCACTGACAGTTGAGGGGCGCTCTGCTGCTTTGCAATGCCGTATGCCGCCTCCACACTCGCCACCACCGCATATGCCCAGCACGTATCTGAGAGGAAGGCGAAGGTGAAGCAAGGTGAGCCATGCAAGGAGTGTGGAGAAGTCTCTGATGGCACATACCATGTTCACATCGGTCTGTTCCTACAGTTTTTCATTTCTATCAGTTGCACATCGCATGCCAGCCTATCATGTACAGCTTGCCGCCAAAACTAGTCGGCAAAACGTCGGAAGTGCAGCGGAACAGAAAATTCGTGCAAGAATCTGAACTGGAAACCCACGATCCTGTTCCCACTTACTGCAGTCTCGCTGGTTCTTGACAGGCCAGCCAAGGAAATCCACAGAGTCCCACGTGTGGAAGTCACGAAGCCTCCACGCGTCCTTCTTGGTGGCCGAGAGCTCGAAATCCGAACTCACGTAGCGCGAAAAGGGGCTGCCTCGAGACGGTGCAAATGTGTCCTCCGATAGCGAGAGGCCAAGGGCTGTGAGGGGCGAAATATGTTAGAAAAAAAGGGAATATGGGTGAAGAGTAGTTGGGAACACGCATGTCGCATCTCTGGATTGGTGATGCCACAGTACCGGCTGAGCCACGAATCAATCTGAGAGACTGCGTGACCCCTGCACCTGGGACACCGGCATCGAGCAACGTTCTACCATCAAGCACCCTCTACTACTTTTCACAGCCTCCGTCGGTCTCCCCTAGTGACCCACAGTAATAGCTAGTTAGATCATGCGGTGGTGGTTGTGCTTGTTTCTTGCTGCCTCTAGCATCGGACCAGGATGGCATTGCCAGACTAGATAACTAAAAACTTATCGATGTCAGGCAACGGAAGCGAGGTGCACCTCCTGTAGCTGCCACGTGGCAGGGAGCTCACCTTGATCTTTGAACAGGACGGCCTTGACCTTAGGAATGCCTGCAGGGAGATTCAGCAGTCATAAGAGCAGCCATCCGGTGGTGGTTGACTCGTTAATCACACAAAGAGCACCTCATAAAGAGGTAGCAATGGCAGGATCATTCTCATTAGCCACTGCCAGTCATTATCTACAATGCACAACATCCCAGTCTATCATGACACACTGACAACGCCAATGTGGTTGCCCTATCCTGTAATGTTCAACTCAAAATCAATGGCAGAACACCAGAGCTACCACCCCCACCACCTTTTCTTCACGCTTTTCTCACTCAATTAGTCGTGGCCATGATTCCCATGCATCACCCCTGAAACATATGCTTGCCTGTTTGCACGGTGGAGGAGAGAATGCCTAGCCGCTGGAAGGGCTTCACAGTGGTGGACGCAACGAACCCAAACGAGAATGCCGGCTGCTTCACTCCCGGCTGCAGCACCGCACACAGCGACACCCTCCCAAGCAGCAGTGGCTCGTCTGGCTTTGTATTCGAACCGGCCAGAAACACTTGAATGGTGCCGGGATCCCCAGGCTCATAGTCCACCCACACCTTGTATGAGTCGCCATCGGTCAGTGTGAATGGAGACACCTCCTTGACCAAACACTCCTCTGTGCCGTTGATGCACAGCCCCACGTGCTGCTCGCCCACATCATTCGGAAGCGTGTCAAAGACAACGGCTATGCTCCGAAGTCCCGATCCACTGTACCCCACACCAGCAGGCTTCCCCACCTTGGGCTTTGCTGCTATGACAAGTGCAAAGCCATTGGACCCAGCAGTACCAAACTGGGGCATGAGAGAGAAGGTGAAGTTGACTCTGAACGCCAACCCCAAGCCACATCCCGAGGTAACACCACGCTGGTAATGAAACAGGGTCATTGGCTTCGCCATGAACTTCCCCATTGTCTCCTTCTTCGTGCCCTTGGTGAGAAACGCGAATGGCGGGAGGATGTTCACCGTGGGCCCTGCAGAGTTGCAAGGGAGGTGCAGCAGGACATATCATGTGGTCAGTGTTACGCGGGCAAAGGAGGTAGTGACGAATCTTTGGTGGTGGTTGCTAAGCCAATCAGGAGCATATGCTGCTCTCTGTGTATGTTGCACTTGTAATAGATGAAGCTTACCTACTGAAGTTAATGTCGGAAAGATTGCAGCAAAGACGATAAGTAGAGGAAAGGGTTATGAAGGGCAAGGCATGGTGCACAAAAGTGTTTCGTCCGTTCAACCAGTGACTATATTGCAAGTCTGACCTCAGAAGCAATTGAACTCGAACCGAGTAACGACTGGGCAGTTACCCGAACCGAACCGAACATGTGGAACCAGGAGTTTGAGGTTTGCTATATGTGGTCAAACTGCTACCGCTTGGAGTCAAAGTCTTTGAAGCTCAACTCGGCCCCACCTGTTTTGGTTCGGTTTGGCGGTACATTCACTATAGTCATGTATTTTCACGTTTTTGCTGAGGTTTTCCACTCTGTTTTTGTTGCTAGCTTTAAACCAAGTGTTGAGGAAAATTCGAACCAATGCACCAGAGCCAGCTCTAGTAAAAAAGAAATAAGTTTTTAATAGTCTCAAGTAAATCGTAAGAAGGTACTACAGGTATTCCTTACCTGGTGGCAGAACACAGTCGCCTCGTCCGTACCGCACTGATCCCGCACCACACGAGCACGTTGGCACCAAGCTGGGCCCGTCTGGGTAGCACACGCCACGACCACCACAGGCAGCAGTGGTTGGAGAGATGCCACAGAATGCCATGCACTGTGCTGCGGGTCGCTGCAACTCAGGACTGCAGGCTTTGCTTGGTGCAAAGCAGTTGGCAGCGATGATGTGTCGCTGGCAGTTTGGTGCGGACACAACACCCGACAGGTAGTTGTCGGACAGGTCCGCTGGAAGGAGTGGCGGGAGTTTCACCAGGGGGCCTGTGAGGTAGTTGTGAGAGAGATCGCTGCAGGGGAACGGGAAAAAAGGAACGGGAGGTTTACATTGTAGGCAGGTGTTAATCACACAGAAGTTTAAGTAAAATCAGAATAAATGAGAATAATAGTGTTACATGAGGTGATGGGTGGGTGGAAGTTGGGTTTGAGAAGAACAGGAATGCAGGGGGGAGGGGTAAGGGACGAGGATGAAGAGAAGAGGTGCAGGAGCAACGAGGGAGAGACTGTGGGAAGTAGAGGAGGGGGGAGGAGGAAGCAGTGGGAGTCAATTGTTGCATTGGACTGGCTTCAGTTAGAAGCACCTCTCGACAGCACAACAATAGGAGCAAAGCATGTGAAATGGTGGACACAACCAGCACAAATACTCTGCTTCAGATGCAGGAGTGTAAATGAGAGTGCACAAGATGGGGTGAACAAGCGTGTGGAAGAGTATAGAAATGTATGAGAATCGTATAAGTAGGAGCAAGAGTGGAAGGGCGCATGTGGATTTTTTTGCTGGCATCGTACAGGGTCTGCATGTCTGTCAGTTTGCTGAGGCTGGCAGGTAAGCTTCCAATGATCTGGTTGTAGGCAAGTGACCTGATGGGCGTGAAGGCGGACAATTGTCGAAAGGGATGAATGGCAGGCCTGAGAAAGAGCCTGAGCCGCCTCTTGACTCGCATTTGCAACAACCTGAGCAAAAAGATTTTGCTTTCGACTCGACTTGCAGCAAGATGGGCTAGAATCGCTGGCGGTGCCTTGCCATGCTCAACTGCACCACGCAGGAGGGCTGATCCATCTGGGATTACTATATGTGGGTCCACAAGCCGCAGCACTGCTTGTCTCCATGGACGGTGACCCTAAGGGTTGAACGGGGCCCGATCAAGCTAAAAAAAGTTCCCAACTTTTTTCTATCCTTCAGTAGGCTAGACACGTTTCTTGCAGTCTCCTTGCGAGCGGTTTTATTTCAGTGGGATGGGATGGCGTGTCAACTTACAGATAACTCAATGCAGCCAGCTTGCCAATTATAGAAGGAATCGTTCCGCTAAGACGATTTTTCGCCAGCTGTCTGTACATGCAATAAGACAGTTATTTCATACAAGCTGTGAGGTAGAATGCAGTGCTGAAAAACACATATTATGAGTCAAGAAGAAATTTGAGATCTCAAAACAAGTTTCAATACTTTTTTTTTTTCTTGATAATAGCTCGCACAAGTTGCTAAGTCGAACCTGGCCGATTTGAAGAAAACCAAAAACCGCATTCAACCGGCTCAATCTGATGTGGCTCGCCAATTGGTTCAACCAGGTGGGCAACAAAAATTTCAACCATCAAATCTCTTCGATGCGATCCAAACCGCGGGAGCGATTGTGCGCTGTGCGATGTGGAGTGCTAACGCATCAGAGGCCTGGGGTTCACGCGGCTCACAGATTAGCGAGAGACACAAGTGCAGACATTGTTTCTGGCAGGCTGCCTTCTAACTCGTTTTGCTGCAAGAAGCTGCCATGCAGTGCCACAAAAAAAACACAAAAAATTAACCCACGTGTGAACATGTGCACAAGGCCAGGAAGTCACTAGAAGCTTCAGACGATCTCCAGAAGAGATGAGGTTAATAAAAGAGGGAGGCAGTCTCCTTGCAGACAACGTAAATTTGATCTAAGGTGCTTCTCGTTTTTACTCCTCTGCTGTGAGCAGCTGTGGAGGTCTGCGTTGGTACTTGGGACTCATGCGACCCTGCGCTAAAAGCGATGGCTGAAAGCCACATCCAAACTCTCTGAAAGCATACCCATGTTGCAACCTGCTTCATTGCTTAATGTGCACAAAAGGAATGAATGACCAGAGTCCGTAAACAGCAAGTTGAACCACACAAGAACGCCCCAAACATTTCCTCTCGGGGGTCAAACCCGCCATACCTGATCCTTTGAGTCTGCCAACCTAATACTTAATAACTCACTGCACATGGCGCACACATACTACCTCGATGGAGAGAAGATCATAACATAGGAAGGGGCATGGATGGGATGGAGTGGAGATGATCGGAATGCTAAAGAGTGGAGGCGAGGGGAAATACAAAAGGCAGAAACAAACCAGAAGGGGCTTACAGCGCCACTAGTTTCACAAGATTGCCGATTGCAGGCGAAACTGTGCCATTGAGCTTATTCTCATTGAGATACCTGTAATGATACATATACAAGAAACGCGTATGCAGTACATAAAAAGGAAGGGTTCAAGCTCGCACGGAAGAAATGAAAAGACAGAAAAGCAGAGAGGGGCCAACCAGATTGGTATGCCAACAATAACAGGAGAGCACTGAAGCACAGCGTAGGCACAAGGAAGATTCGAGCTTGAGCCGGTTCGGGTCAAACTTGGCCGAATTGGCAGGTCTAGTCAAACCGTCCCTGATGGGTTCGGGCAGAACCAGCTCCAGCTCACAATTTAACTAGACTGAGTGCTGGTCGGGTAGTTAAATGGACCCGACAATGGAGAACATCGGTGCGGGCTGGCATTGAGAGGAGACGAGGCGGAGAGGATACGTGCACAAGGGAGGGAGAGCACGGAAGAGAGCTTTGCAGGAAGCTTTACAGCCTTTGCAGGTTCGTAAGCTCGTAGAGTTCGTCCGGGATTGAGCCCGTCAGCTGATTGCCCGAGAGGAATCTGCAGCAATAAACGCAAATGAGCATGTGATACAGGGAGCGTATTCTGTGTAGACAGCAGCATATTCATGCGATCCGGTCTGAGCTGAACTCGAGCTTCAAACAAATTCCGTTTCATTTCGTGACAAAGCAGTTTGCGTCTAAGTAAACAAGGCACAATGCGTTGAGCTGATTTAACATCCCCAAAATCCTTGTGTGTTACCATACATAATCAGAGCAGATGAAACATCTTTAAGCGCACTGTTGGTGCTGGTGGTGGTAAGTGGAGCTGCTACGAGACCATTGAACGGATGGAAAGGAAAGCATCAGTGTGGACAAGTGTCAAGACGGCGAGAAGCGGTGGAGAGGAGAAGCGGTGGAGAGGAGGGGGCGCACAAGTTAGAAAGGACAGGCAAGCAACAGCTTTGCAGGACGCCTTACAGCATTGTGAGAGTTCTAAGTTCACTGATTGCAGCAGGAATTGAGCCATTGAGTTGACTGTTATAAAGGGATCTGCAAAAATGAACACATATGTGCATGCATGTGCAGTGGTGATAAGTGGACTTAATAGGAGAGGATGCAATGGAAGAAGAAGCAACAGAGAGAACATGCGTGAGGACTGGCATCAAGAGGAGCAGAACTGGTGGGAATAAAGCAATTGCGTTGCAGGAGACCGTACAGGCTTCGCAGTCTTGAAAAATTACTGATTCCATCGGGAATGGAGCCAAACAGCTTATTGTCTGCGAGAGATCTGCAACGAGATGGACAAACGGCCACATGGTAGGTAGATATTGAAAGCCAGTTATTCCATGGAAGTGGCTAGCATAGCAGCATATGAGATTGTGCATGCTGCATATGTAGCCATTGAGTGTGTAAACGTGTTTATATACTGACATTGTGGGAGGCCTTGTTGCGGACTAGCCTCGAGGGTAGGAGAAGTGGTGGAAGAGTGGAGGGGTGCAGAAGGTGGATCAGAGCGCAGCCAAAAAACAATGTTGCAGAAGGTCTTACAAGGATGTGAGTGCTTGAAGATTGCTCAATACATCTGGGATCGAGAAGCGGAAATTATTTTTAGTGAGATCCCTGCAACAATGAACACAGATAAGCATGTGGCGGTGGTACAAGGACCATATATTCAAGAGAATGGAATGGAAGAGAGATTAACGGAGGCCATGGGTGTGGACTAGCATCAACGAGAGGCGCTCAAGATAGGGCAGAACAAAACAACGGGCTTGCAGGATGCTGTACAGGTATTGCAGGTTGGAAATTCTGCTGATGCCAATTGGGATGGAGCCATACAGACGATTCTGCAGGAGATTTCTGCAATGGCAAACACAAAGGGGCATGCGAGAGATAAAGGAATTTCAACTGAAGCCTGCATAGTAACCAGCCCACCCGTAAATAGGGGCTGGCTCGTGGCAACGTGGGGTCTTGTTGTCGTCATCTTGTCACAGGGCGATTTTTCTTGGGTCACCAGGATCGCAGCGAAGTTTACTCTTTTGCCACTTTGCTTGTAGTCTCTTACAGGCAATCCGTGCTACAAATGCGCCATCCGTATCAAGTACTAAAAAAACAGCAAAGGATAGGGTGGTGGAAAGTGAACCTGATGCAAGAGGATGAAACAGATGAAGGGTCTATGGAGAGCATGTGTGTGGACTGGCTCGCATCAGGGGGAGGGGATTAGGTGCAGAGGAGAGACGCACAAGCACAATCAACCAAGAAGCGGCCTTACAGGAAGCCTTACAAGGTAACCAGGTTTCTAAGATTGCTGACCGCCGTGGAGATTGATCCACTAAAATAATTCACTGAAAGATCTCTGCAACAACACCCACAGAAACGAGCAGACAGAGGGAGATCAAAGGTTGCATGAGAAACGAGTGGTATACGTATGTGCATGCGAACCACAACTTGTGACAACAGGTTGAACCATGTCAGCATCGCAACTCAGCAGAATGGTTCCACTGAATGCTTTCGTAGCCTTTTCTTAGTGCATACTACACCCGTGACCCTTCTATGGTACTTCCTTTTGAGTCGCTTACTCATTGAAGAGTAGTACGCTCCCAGGCATTTGGCGACGACAGCATTTGACAGTCAAATTCCTTCATTCTCGGGACGGGCGGTAGTCTGCTTGATGAGAAGTACCCGTAGCACAAGTCTAATGTGAATCGTATTCAAATACTATGCTTGCTCAGTTTCACACATCTGCTGGCAATGGTGGAACCTGGCCTAGTACACGGCACTTGTGCGACCCTGTGCTACGTCCACAATCAGATAGCACGTTTCCCATGGTTACTAAGCACGCCAGGGGAGTTACCCAACTCCTTGCTTGCAACCTAATCTGACAGATAGCACTCCTTTATTCCCAACGGAGACGAGAGTACACAAATGGGAGGGGAAGTGGATGGTATGGATAAGACTAGCACGAGGGGAAACCATAAAAGCAGAGAGGAAACTTGGAGCCTTACATGATCCTCAATTTTGTGAGTCCATAAACTTCGGAAGGAACTGAGCCAGTGAGCCTACTGTAACGAAGGTATCTGATATGATGAATAACATGCAAGAATGCCAGATGATACGGCAGAGAGTTTTAAGTTAATGGGCAAGGGGCGGGGCGAAAGAGCCGAGACAAAGAGGGGAAATAAAGGTTGAGGATTGTTGGGTGAGGAGAAAAGAGGAGATGTGAAGAGAGACGCCGGAAGAAGATCAATTATTTGTGTCAACGAGCCACTGGTGTAAAGAATGACTAGGAAAGGATAGCTATCGCCGTTGCAAGAGGGCTGCGGAGGGCCCCCGACGTACAGGACAGTGAGTTCACGGAGGTTGGAGATGGAGCTCGGAAGGCGCCCTCCTCTGATGCCACCTTGAAATTTTCTGCAATAAATTGCACCCAAAACATGGCGTCACATTGTTTCCATGAGCCAACAGGGCTTGAAAGAGTGGCTGGGCACTTGTAAAGGTGGCACTAGTCGTCATGAATGCTGCAGGTCGCAGCTCACATCTGGGTGATCATCCCGCTCGTATCGCAGTCGATGCCTGTAGCAGCCTGGCAGGTAATAGGTCTGCCATTGAACGAAGTCCACCCAGCCAACACCTGACCCCATGCGGCCTGGCAATCTCGCAGGAATGTAACTGCCAGTCGACGGAGGGAAGGGGGAGGAGGGGGGAGGGGGGGGAGAGGAGGCGGTGGGAAATGAGAGGGGGGGAATTTCGATGGAGGCGGGGTCCTTTGGTGGTCGTTTGTAACGCCCGTGGGGCTTACACGTGAGAGCATCCGCTGCGCCTCAAATACAACCCTCGTTTTGACCCAGTGGGTAGCGAAGTGTTACATCGTTTGTGTGTGCGTTTTGGAAATGGGTACTTCGAAGCTAGGCTTGGAGTAGCTACGTTCTCAATACAAAGATTCTACTGCTGGTGACCAGCAGCATCATGGCTGCAAACTGAGCCGCTGACCTTGCGAGGCAGCCATCACTTGGGCGTGGACCACGGCGGGCGTGGCGAGAGCGGCGAGCCACCACGCGAGTGCCAGCGCGGCGCACTGCGCGTGCCGCTCACGCGGCCGCTGCATCCCCTGGAGGCGCCAATGATTTGCCGACGCGGGAGCCCAGGTGCGGGCGGCGAGCCTGGAGCCCCGCATGATACTGCTCCCGACTTGCTTAAGATGATCTTTACCTTGTTTTCACGACTGCTCTCTTCCAAGTATGGGGCCGCGCTGTCTACTAACATGCAAGCATGGCACGGTTCAACCGTGGTGCTTTTTGTGGTGGGAGGGTTGTCTGACAGTGTTGGTGTGAGTTCTTCATGTAATTCAGCACAGTAATGGTTTTGCTACTACACACGATGCCCGGTTGAGCCCCCCGACCTTGCCTTACCCTCTGGGCGTATAAACGATTCCTGCATTTCGCGGAGGTCTCGGGCAAAAAGGGCTTATAAAAAGATTTGTAACTCACCGTTGACTTTTTGACTGCATTCTCTTCAGTCAGACTTCAGTTTCTGTGGTTCGTATTGGTTGACGTGCTTGTAACGTGGGTGCAGCCTCACGGCACAAAACCCACGGGTGCAAGGTTTCCATCAGGTGCAAGGCAATTTCGCGTGCAGGGGGTGAGCATCATGTGTATCAACCAGGACGATACAGTAGTAACTTCCGTTACAAGCAATGAGGATTGAACGTCTCACACCTCCATCGAGCAGCATTCTGGAATGTGTCGAACAGCCCGCGGCGATTGAGTTGGCCGAACTTTCAACAGTGTGAGGAAAGGGGGTACACAAGATGCCCAGCCCCTGCACGCGAATTTGCTCTGTCCGCGATGGAAACTCTGCACCCGTGTATTAGGGTAACAGGAAGCTGCACCCCATTTATAAGCACCTCGAGCAATACGAACCACAAAAACCGAAGTTTGACATAAGAGACCCATGTCAAACGGTCAACAGCGAGTTACAAAATCTTTTAAAAGCCCTTTTCGCTAAGTGCGAATTGACGAAAACTCAGCGAAACGCAAGAATCAATTAAGAGTCCTCCTTGCAAGGCAACCTTGGGTTAGTCAAACAGGCATCGTGTGTAGTAGGGCGGGGGAAGGAAGGGGTCAATGAAACTCGAACCATGTAATACACCTGTCCCGCGATAATTCCACACCCTGAAACCCCTGAACCGCGCCGAAATTTGCCCCAGGGAGTGTGAAAATTGACGTAAGAAAAAAGTTCCCCGTAATTTCACACTGGGGTCGAGGATGGGCTGATGCTGACTTGGACCGAAATTTCTTGGCGATCATCTGAGATTTCTCTAACCAGTCTGGAACCACCACGTCAGGATTCCATTTGGGCACAATCTGAATCAGCTCGAACTGAAAGTCCCCACACTGGCCCATCAGGCAGCTCGTAGTATAAATGGGGTCATTCCTCCCCAGAATCACCCAATGTCCCACCACGCTTCGGCAGAGCTGCGGCTCGAAGTTGTGCCAATGACATCGAAACGCGGGTACTCTAGTTAAATTATCGCAAGGCAGGTGTAGAACCTGCGGCGTTTCGTGGCTGGGGTTGAGATTCTCGAAGGTTCGTTGTGGGCGCGTGTGTCATGGCTTTCCTTACGTCCACGTCATCCGTCAGTTATGTTGCCGATCTCCAGAAGCACTCCACGCCACAGAAAACCCATGCGGAAACAGCTGAAAGGACACTGGCACCGTCGGAACGTTTGCTCCGTCAAGCGCCAACGGCCACCTCAGCGAACGTCTGACCCGACCCTGACAAACCGCCCTTGCTGCTTCATCTGTCGTGTAGTGAAGCATGCGAGCTGCCCTTGGCAAGCCCTGACAAAACACTAGACTTAGCGGTGATGGGGCACAACACTGCTGAAAAAGGACGTAATGGAGAAGCAGTTCGCCAACCTAGTCCCACCCAGGGCTGTCGATAGCCCTGGGGCCAAAACTTAAGCCCCTCAGCAGCTGTAATTCCGGCCCTTATTTTCAGGTAGGTGACCATTTTTTTGCCCTTAGCGGTCACGGGCGCTGGCCGAAAAGTGAACTTGAAATCCGGGCTCCAAAGTGTAGTCTACTTAACTAACCTATCCTGAATTGAAGACAGTAAACCTACTTTTTCAGTACTAGGTACACTATTCAACCTGCATGTCACTACTTCCAATCCAACTACAAGTGGAGCTGCACTATCTACTGCATTTCTACTCATCTGCAGCTCCTCTACCACCTGCATCACATTATATCTTTGACAAGACATGCAAGCCTAGGTGGCAGGCCTCCGCCCCTTGGCCTCAAAAACAGCGTAGGCCTCAGCCCAGTCGACAGGATAATCCAGCATTTTGACAGTCATCAACTCCCCCAGCTTAACATCAGTAAGAGCCGTACGATCCCATGCCTTTATAATGTTTTGCCTGGAGAAGCCCCTCTCGAACTCCACAATGCTGAGGGGCAACACAAAAAGAGCTCGCCAGAGACTAACAAGGTGGGGGTAATCATCCTGCCAATCTGAAGTGCGGAGCATGTTTGTAAGAGCCTGATGAAAGCTCTGCTTCTTGAATTTCGCGAACAGGGTTGCAGTGAAGAGATGCATCTCTGGCTCTATATCTGCAGCCGAGATACGTACCTGCCAAGGGGATACGGGGTAAGTTCAGTAATTAGATGGAACTTGAGCTAGCCTCGGCAAATAACTTAAGCCACTATGCTTCCCACACTTACCAGGGAGCTGGTTCTTGAACAGGTCCAGCAGCTCTGCCAGGTGGGTCTTGAGCCAGGGTTCCTGGTCGCACACATTTGTGGGGTACTGGTCAGGCTGGAAAAACTGGACGCCATCATAATGGCGCAGGTCAGCCATTCTGTTGCCCAGTGCCTTGACCAGGTTCTGCGCGAACCGCCTGGTAAGGTCCTTGCACGACTCCATGTCACTTCCAGCGCCTTCTCCGATCTTTTCCTCGTGGAGCGTGACCTTGGTGGTCGCTTGCTTACCACTGTCATCGACTCCCTTGATCTCAATGGTGCGCTTCTCCTGGCTGCCACGTTCATCGATGAACTTAGCCAGGCGAGAGTCATTCTGCCCGAACGATGCGCCGGGCTCGACATAGCGTTGCGCGAGCTTCGTCTTCACCTTGTCCACATGGTTCTTCACCTCCGTGATGTCAACCTGAACAAGCACAGTTTAATACGCACAGAGGCACAGTTGAACACGCACAGTGAAACAAGCATAGATGAACAAGTACAAATGAACATAAAACGTTGATGTCATAACATATAGCTTATACATTTGTGTAGGCTGTAGTGGGGTAGCCCATATGGGGTACAACCCAATTAGGGTTAGTACTTGTACCCAACTCTTTCATAGTTCAATCATTCTCGTTTCAATTTTCACAGTTGACTACTGCGGTTCAACACTAACATGGAGCGACACGAATCAAGACGTACCATCTTCTTCTGGAAGGCGAGATTCAGTCCGTTGAGTAGCTGCAGGATGTCCGCCAGGAGGAAAATCATGAAATGAAACTTGAAGCTGCATGCGATCTTCTGCGTCGCAGGCTTGTCCCTGCTCCACATCCACATCAGCACGGGCAGCACGTCACAGAACCGCTGCACCGCGTCCCCTCGAGTTAGCCACCGTACAGTACAGAACCCCTGCACCTCCAGGTGTGTCTGTAGAATCACATCTTGCAGGTGCATGTACGTCCTGTGGTCGGTGGAGGAACGCCCGAGTCGCTCTGCAGTCTGGCGTATCATCGTATCGACGACATTGAAGTCTTTGAAGCTTGCCGCTGCATCTTTAGCAGCCAATGCTTCCCTGCACAGGCACAAGGAAAACGTTAGAAACCATGTGATGTTGTTGGAACAGAGTATACAAACGCTCTGCACGCTTATCTGTGCGCCACACAGTGTACAGCCACCAGCCATGGGCAATGCTTCCTGAGTAAAGCGACCACTCCCTTCCTCTCGCCAGTCATAACGGAAGCCCCATCCGTTGAGACGCCAGCAAACCTCTCCATTGACAGGCCCTTCCCCGAGATGAAGGCCATGATCGTCTCGTAGATTGATTGCGCGTCGCATCGGGTGAGAGAAAGGTGCCCAAAAAATTGGGTCACCACAGACTCGGATCGCTCGAAAGTCGCATACACGATCAAATGCTTGCCGCGGGCACGATCCGTAGACTCATCGAAGGAGAGCCCATACCAGGCCGACGACCTGACGTCCTGGAGCTGACGTCCTGCGAGGTAAGTCGCCATTACCTCAATGAACTCGCCAAAGGTGTACCTGCAACAAATACCTGACAAGCAAGTGTAAGTAGCAATTCAGAAAAACAAAAACGCATGCAACTACGGGCCGTATAAACAACTACATACCTCGAGTAATAGCGACCGTACGATTCGCTATTCACCATGTCGGGGCAGCCTTGCTCCGCCATGAACCGCACCAGCATCGGGTAGAGAACGATTGGAGCATCGTTCCAAGCACACCAGTACGCCGCCTGCATGCACTTGGTGACCCTAGCCATGGTAGGGTCCCTACTCAGCATGTCGAGGAGGCTCCGCTGCCTCACCTCTGTGCCTTGAGCGAGTCGTTCGGCTTCAACTGCTGCAAGGTGCACCTTCGACAAGTCGTGATTGCGGCACGCCGACTTCTGAAAGTCCCTCGCGCCGGCGCCACAACGACCGAAAGGAGACTTGGTGTTAGGAGCGAATGTAGAGCATGCAGAACATCGCATACCGTACATCCGTTGCTTTTCGTGATACTTCAGGCTCAGCCACGGGTAGGTCGCCTTCCAGTTCTTGTTGTAGCGACGGGCAAGAGCTTTTTCGCGCTCAGGGATCTTCGTGTCCTCGGGAACCTCTGCTTCGGCTTCGATATCCTTGTCCAGTGCTTCTAAATCCTCAGCAGTAGGTGGCGGCGGGTGGCTACGAACGCGTTTCCTGGTGTCTGGAGGTGGATCCGCGAATCCAAGACACGCCTGACGAAAGTGGGTACGTGCCCTAGGCGTCGATTGGGACGACGATGAGCTCTGTTGATTGAGTAGTGTGTCCGAGACGGTGATGTTGACTTCGAGCATGTCACCATCGTCCGTTGCTTCTGGCTCATGCTGAAGGCTGAGAATCTCAGTGTCTCCACTATGCGAACTACTTGTTGAGGGGAAAGTAACTCGGTCACTAGA